GGTGGATAGGAAGCTTGACATAAGCAGCAATGCGCACTCGCAGCCCAGAAAGCCAACTGTATCCGGGGCTGCATCAAAAGAACTGTGGGTCAGCAGGGTGAGGGAGGTGATCCTGCCCCTCTGCCCTGAGCTGGTGAGACCTCACCTGGAGTACTGCATCCAAATGTGGAGTCCTCAGTACAGGAGAAACATGGACCTGTTAGAGCTGATGGCCACAGAATTGGTCCATGGAATGGAACACTTTCCCTACAAGAACACACAGAGATGTGGGGATGTTCAGCCTGGAAAAGAGAAGGCTCTGGGGAGACATGATAGAAGCCTTTCAGTATCAAAAGGGGGATTCTAAGAAAGGACAGAGACTCTTTAGCATGATCTGTTGATAGGATAAAGGGAAATTGATTCAAACTATAAGAGGAGAGATTTAGATTGGATAAAAGGAAGACATTTTTTACAAATGAGATAGAGAGGCACTGGAATGAGTTGCCCAGACTCATGAATGAGTTTCAGGAGGTTTCTTGCAATTAATATGGGTCCAGATTTTTAGCTGTACTTATCAGTTCCAGCTGACTGACTGGCTCTTAGCAAACCTAGACACATGCAAGTTACTGGTCCATTTTATCTGAAGGCTGATAAAAGAGCCAGGAGGCTCCTTCAATCTATCCTAACACAGGTGCACCATTGAGGCAGTATTACAGCATCATTTATGAGTGGGTTACCAATTATTGAAGTTTTTTTAAAAAAATAGTTTTCTTTGCTCATTCCAAGTTAATATTACTATGGCATTCAAAACTTTAAGGCTTCAAAATTAAGACTAGTCTTGTTAAACTCATAAAATAATATCATTATTACTAAAACATTTGTTCTAAAATATTTTTCTTCCTTTAACCAAGTCACTGCTGCCTTCAGTGAGCTGCTCAACCTAACATCTCTTTCCCTTGATGTCTTTATTTTTCCTTCCAGTCTTGCACTTCCAGCTAAAAATCCTGAACACGTCCTTAACTTCTCAGTCATTACCTCTGCATTTCATTCCATGTGCCACAATGCACAAGAGCTGTAACACTTCCTCTCTTTCTAGTTAGCTTTTTTTTACTAACATACAGAGCTTCATTTCTGCTTTAATAACCCACAGATTTCTCTTGCCCAAGGACTGGGCCCTACTCTGTTACCACTCACCCAACTTGCATACCATTTTATTCAGCACTTCCCTGAATTGCATGTCCTGCACAGGGAACTTGTTCCCATTGTCAAGCAGCACCCTCATCTGAAGCTTTCAAGATTTCTGCCCCTCTTTTCTGCAATTATTTTAAACTGAGTATATCATTTTCCTCTGACTGCTTTACAGGAGCTACTGGTAACACAGGTTTCTCCTTTGCCTTCCTTTCCCCTTTTTTTTCCCTTTCCTAACCCATTCTTTTTCAATTATTCAGTCAATATTTTTTTTAGTACAGTGTGCAGATTTACAAATTCACTGCTATAGGGCACATTCCCAGCTAAGCCACTGCAAGATAAGTTTACCAATATTATCACTGCAGAAGTTGTATGAGTGATCTAGCAGGTGTAAATGCAAGAGCTTCCTTCACTGCCCAGCATTTTGGAGGGGCAGGTATCAGTATGAACAAGGGCCCCCTAAAGGCAGGTAGTCCAAGAATTGCAAAAGCAAACCAGCACTTGTCCAAGGCGAGCCAAGTCTGCATGCAGAGCTGAGTACAGCACACAGGAGGAAAACAGCCTTGTGTATATCCAAAATCAGTAGGGGAGCTGTGTTAATGTCTAACTCAGCACGGGCTTTGTGTTGCTCCTGGTAGCTGTTAGCCATCACAAAACAGCAGTATTCTGCAGATAATTCTACACCAGCAATACCTAAGAGTGGAGCCAAAGCTGTTCCTTCCCTACTCCAGCACAGCAATGTTGGGCTGGGGGCATTTAGCCAAGCAGCACTACAGTAACAGTGCTCCCAAAGGCAGAGTAAAACAGACTCTGAACACTCAGCCATCCTTTACTTGGTTAAAACAACCTGCATTGCCTCTGTGTGGGTGGTGTATAAGGGGGCCAGGTTCAGGCAACGTGCAAAATGCTGGGTCTGTTCTGCCCTTGTGTATTGTCACAGTGAGGAATGTCTTTTTTTTTGTTATTATTATTATTACTATATTTTGTTATATTATTATATTTTTTGTTATTATTTTTGTTATAATGTTATCGTCAGTTTGGAGTCAAAGCTGATGATTGTGCCATATAATTTTCCTAGCTACAGCTGCAGCCAAAGCAGTGTTGCTTTTCTGCCTCATATTTTCTGCTTACTGATACTGAAGTTCTTTGTGAGCAGAGTATTGAGAAGTAAATTACACAAAAAGTACCAAGCAAACAATTGCCCTTTTGGGCAAGGTCTCTGAGAAACTAAAGTATATACCCCAAGTATTTTCCTTTATCTAGACAAAATGCAACCACAACCCTGTGAAAGTACAGCTGCTAGTAGATGATATTCAAGGATAAAAGCAGTAAGGAGTAAAGGAGAGGCAGAGCTCCAGATACAATACGAAAGTGATTTCTCCACGGAAAAGCATACTGCTCAGGAACCATAGTAAGAAATCCCTGGAAATCTCTGAGCAGAATTTTAAACCAGAATATATCTTGACTACATAAAGCCTAAAAAGTTGTGCAGTTTGCCAGAATAAAGTGGAAGAAACATGACTTCATGTCAGGAGGGATGTGCTGAAGAAGTTACGTGAAACAGACAACAACACAGAGATTACAGAGGTTGTTTATGGGTCACATAGAGTTAATGAATTTATGTGCAAGTCAGAGCAGCTTTTGGAAGCTGTTCCACCAGGTAAATGCAAACTGTGCCTACGCTCCTAATGTAACACTGTTTTTCATGTAGGAGTGCTGTACTTGGTTAAATCCCACTTGCTTCTTCCTAAAAGGCTTTTGTGCACAGTGGGTTTGGTTTATTCAAGCACACTCCCAAATAAGTAGGGAAGGTGCTCATTTCACACTGCCAACAAGATTGGAAAAGGGAAAAACTCTTTGGTGATGGGCAAGCTGCCTCAGGACAGCAGGAAGGGGACTGGTCCAGGCAGCTTTCACCTCCTTTTGCCATCTATCTTCATTATTCTCCTGATTAAGTTCAATGTTATGGTCTTTTATCTGTTGCAATCCAAAAAAGACAAATTTATTTCCCCAGATGACACCTATGCTGAAACCTCCCCTCAGGGAACGCCAGGAGCTGCACTCTGACTGATGAGGTGCAGAGCACTTGGCTACAGACACGTCTCACTCACTGGGAGCGGAGTTTGGGAACAAGCAGGTAAAGGGCAGTTTTAGCATTTCTTCAAAATGCATTAAGTTGAAAAAGTCACACAACCAGAAGGAAAAGAACAGTGTTAGAACAGAGTCTTAAGGAAGACCCTACAAATCCTTTGTGGAGCTCTAGCTGACACCTGCACTACTCTTCTAACTAGACACTGAGTCCCCACATCTGTGTGAGAAAGGAGAATTACTCTCGTTGGAGGGAGAAGCAGGGTGTCATGAGAGTCAGTGAGAAGAAGGGGAAGTCTTGTGGTCACTCCTCGAATCTGAGAGCTCAGCTAATCTCTATTCACCTTGCTGTGTTATTGGATCAGAGGTTCTCCAAAGCCAACAGGCCACACACCTACATCACAGAATGGGTTGGGGTGGAAGGAACTTTACAGATCATCTCATTCCAAACCACTTGCTTGGGGTAGAGATGCTTTCCATTAGACCACGCTGCTCAAAGCCCCATCAAACCGGATGATGAGTTCTGCCTTTTTGTTTTGTGAGGGTTATTATTTGTTATCATATGAAGAATACTGTAAACTCTGAGGGGTTTGTGGGTTTTTTTGGTAAAAAATAAAATATTTGAAACCCCCTAGAGGACAAAAAAAAAAAACCAAAACAACAACATAAAGAAAGGCTGGACATCTTGATCTCTGCACAATGAGAAGATTTCTAGAAACCTTCAAATTGACACAGTAGAAGCACGAGGCACTCCTGTGCTTACTGCAGTCTGTATGTAGTGTTCAGGTTTCTTTGACTTTTCTAACTCTAATCAATTCTGAGTTAGAATTACTTTTCCATTTGTAAAGGTTTTCCCTTCATGTGGCTTGAACACCTGTATCTGTTTGAGCTCTTCCAGAAAACCTGGATGATTATCCTCCTGTTCTGTCATTTACTTCAATTTATTTCACTTATTTCTTCTACAGTCTGTTTTAGTCACTTTTTTTTTCACTGCAAATAAAAGCCTTTTGCTCAGGAATCTCCCAGCGGGCCTCCAAATGGGAACTCACACAAAGAGAAAACAAAACCAAACCAAGTCATGAGATTGTTGTTGTTTTGTTATCAAATAGTCCCTCAGAGCAGCTTTTGGGAGATTTTTTTTTTTTTTTTAATGAGCTCCTTTGACTTTCTAATTCTCCCATCCCTCACCCTTGAAGCTTCCAGTGTATTTGAAAGGGGCCTCACTATTGCAGCTTTCAGCACGTGTCCCTTGAACTCTTTACAGCCTGTCCTATTTCACTTTTCTGTTTTACTTGCCACAGTTCTGGACTTTCTTTTGCTCTTGGTCACAACTTCAGCCTTCTTACAGCATAAGATTCCGTGTGAGAACTAGGGACCACAGAAGCAAGCCCTCAGAAAACAACAAATAAACTGATGAGGAGCCCTGAGAAGAATTTCCTGGGTAGGAGACAGGGTTACTTTATAAGGTAGCCTCTAGAAACTGGTTTGGCCTCTACAAAACATGGCTCTAAAATAAGGCAGTGAGGCTCATACACCATGCCTCCCACTCTGCAAGCTTGATGTGATAGCACTGATTCTCCTGGTGAGAGAAACAGCAGTGCCCTAAGGGGTCATCCTGCAAGGTCCCCACAGGAATATGGCTTTAATGACTCTCCCTGTCAAATAACAATTGGATCTGATTTAATTTCAGGTTCATAAGGAAAGAAAAAAGAAAATCCACACTACTCTGCTATAGAAATGGCTCATTCTCAGGCACAGGGAAGCATTTATTCAACCAACGAGCACTAACACCTCTGTGGAAACAAGAAACCATTTCCACGCGTGCACCATGACCAGGGAACTGGGCGCAGTGTGGACAAGCAAGCTGATACAAGGTGCTTTTAACTCATCTCACAGAGCTGCCCCCCAAACTGCATTTTTGGTTTTTAAACTTTTAAAAAATCTTGTGTGGAAAATAGTAAAAAGGACCAAGAACCACCTGGAGTAACAGACATCAGCTTTCACCCTTAGGTATGCCCCTACATTACAAAATTGCTTTACCATTACAGAACTCATTCCATTCTTTTTCCCTGTTTTGGAGAATTGAGTCCTAAGGATCTGGCTTTTGTTCTTCACAGGAAGAAGGCAACCAACATGACTGACTGCAGGAGTAGTCTGTCCACTGAAAATTTAGATAAATGTGTTGGTAAGAATGTCTTCCTGCTGTTGGTGGTGCAGGGTTCCAATGCCAACTGCTGGGGCTGGTAAAGGAGGTCTACTCACAAGACGGAGCTGAAATGAGAGCCAGGAAGAAGTGATTAATGAAGCACAAATGTAGACCCACATCTTGACTCTGGTTCTCTGATTCCATGGTGATCCCTAACTATGCAGTTCCAGTTGGAAATACTACAGGAAGTTATCCTCCATTTCCTGAAGACTTCAGTTCCAAGAACATCATAGTGCATGATCTGCCACAGCAAACAGCAGCTTCAGATTCTCTTCCTATTCGCTGTAGCACCTTAAATATGTTGTTTTCTACCTGCAATCTTTCATTATCCTGTCTGTTTAGACTAAACACCTGCTAAGAGAAAGCTCCAGGCTTGTTCATTGCTAGTAAAGAGCTCTAAAAAAGCTAAGAAATTAGAACATGCAGTTCAGACATTAGGACTAATTTTATGTCTAAGCATCACAGAATTTTGTAGTCAATAGCTTCAAACTCCACTTTATAGCCTAGAGCATCTTACCTTAATTCCCAGCTGCTTTTCAAACCGTGGTGACACAAAAGACCAAGGACCCATATTCTGTGGCTCTTCCTGACTCCAAATGAAGACTAAAGAAAGGATAAGGGTACATTACTAGTGGTAAACATTTTATATCATCCCACTCTAGCAACATTAAATGTATAGGGATATATAGGGGGAAGAACAAAGAAGACAACACCACTTCAGCTCTTCACCCCAGAAGGCAAGCAACAGATTGCAAAGAGGTAAAAATTTGCATACCTTTGGCACGACTGTATCTGCTCAGCTCTTGCTGCAGAGCTTCCAGTGGGAAAGGACACAGTTCTTCAAGTCTTAAAATAGCTATGTTGTGTTGCTTTTCTCCTACTGTCTCTCTTTGCTTCACCAGAGCATAGTAATGCTTACCAGAACAGAACACCACATGGGTGACACTAAAGAAAAATAAGAGTGTTTCCAAGTTTAGTGATTTGCAGAAACTTTATGCAGAACAGTTTCACACCTTTAACAAAAACAACCAGCCAAACTTTAAAGACAATTTAACTGAAGAAAGTTACTACCCTAAACCATATTTTCTCCTTTGCTTTCCCTTAACTCCCACTCTCATCCAACAGCTGACAAACAAATGCCTGGGCACAATAGGCCAGCACCCAAAAGTCTTGTTTCTTCAGCTTTAGTTTTGCCTGAAAATTAAAAACCTAGTCAAAGCTAGCCATCTGTAGAGATGAACCTCAGAGGACAATTCTCTTCCAGACCTAAGAGGAACCACTGTTAGAAGATACGCAGTAGTTTCCAGCAGTCAGAGAGGTCTTACTTGCCTAAGCTTGCTAGACAAAGGTAGCAAGAGAAACCCTACACTTTGTGCCTCCCTGTTCCACTTACAAAACCAAGGTGCTATGATACAGCTAGCTTTGTCAATGTGGGCCAGAATGGAAACATCTGAGATGCTGACAGACTTGAGTACTACTAGGACAGGGACTAAGTAAGAAGGAGAGAAAAATTAAAAGGCTAGAACTGCTTTTTATGAACAGGACTCTCTAAAATAGTATCTAAAGGGAAGAAGACAATACACACACGAAGATTTGTTATTGCCCTAATTTCATTTCATCAGCTCAAGCGTCTCAACAAAACAGAACAAAATTCTGCAGCCCTTCAGATAACAGCTGCTTCCAATGAAGTTAACTAATGGGCATGATTCACTAATCCATCAGATTAGCAATAGGATAACAGACTGCCTTTGGAGGCAAGGGCTATTATGCTGGCAGTTAGCTTTACTACCAACATGAAAGCAGAGGAAAAAGAGAGAAACAAGTAAAACCTTAAGTCACCCATCAGGCAGGTATTTCGCCTACCCCAACAATTACTTCTTTATCACCTTGAACCTGAGCTGCTGGTAGGTAGCAGAAAGGGACAGGACTTCCTTTCTGAGCTTTTCTTGTAAGAAAGTAGAGCTACCTTCTAGGATCTACTGAGGAGTCACCGATGACAGGTTTGAATGTTGTTCTCGGAGCCATTTCTTCAAAACTTGATACAGCAGCCTAAATGGGGAAGAGTTGAAAGTTACCGAATCTGGCTGCCTTTTATCTCAGTCAAAGCTGGGGAGATGACTGAGAGACAAGGTTTTGTTAAATACTAAAGGTGCAGTTTTCCCTCTTCCCCCCATTTCCACTCCCAGAGAAGACAGACAGAATGGTAACATTCTAAAGAACTCTACTGGACCAAGAATCAAGCCTACTTTGGGCTCACATGCACCCATCTTTAACCCTCAACAAAACCCCATTGATTTGACCTAAAATGAGCAGAGAACACAGAGGAAAACAAAGAGAAAGGTTACAAGAACACAGAAGAGGAGGGGAAAAAAAAAAAAAAAAAAAGGAAGATGAAGTTTTCCAGCTTACAGGGAGCCTGAGTAACACTTTTGGAGAAGCAACAATGAGAGGTTTCCTAAAGTTTCGGACCATTTGCCTCCGGAGTAAATGGAAATACTGTGCTGGGGTGGTGGGATGCACAACTGACATGTTCACTCGGTCCCCATCAACTCCTTCCTCTGAGCTGTCACACATCTGAGGGGAACACAGCAGTATTTTGTCAAGAAGGAAGCAGTAATACAAATGTGCAAGTGTCCAGACACATAAGGCACTTCACACTAGTGTAAGAACAGAAGAGCAAATATCCCAATTAAAACACTGATTGCTAGGGAAGAGCAATTTCAGAGAAACTGCTTTAGCATTTACACAGTACCACTACATCTGAACTGCCTCCTTTAACTACTCCGTAACCAAGGCATGGCAGTTCTAACAACTGAAGGTCACGACCATTCCACCAGAATGAAGCACCACTAAGCTGCAAATTTTTCCCTAAATCATTACTCAGCCAAGAAGGCTTTCATTTTCTTACTACAATCACGACACTATAGTGGACATCTTTTCTTTGTGCCACCAATTTCCTTACTGTTACTTTAAGTGCCCAGCATTCTGCTCTATGCATACTGGGAACATCTGTGAGTGGCTTGCAGAAGAGGGTGGCTGCCTGTTTCCAAAGCCAACCCCAAAATGCTTTATGTAAGAAGTTCCATTAGAGGCCTGCTGTTTGCTACTGGACTCATTCTGTGGTACAGTGACACTGCTGAAGAGTGGCAATTGGGAAGGAAACAGCAGGCAGTACTGAAGCACATGAGCAGAGGGCATGAGGCTTTCACAAACACTATGAAATTCTACACTGCATTCACATTACCCCACACTCACTTGAGACCTAATGGGAACAACAAGCATTTATTACGAAGTTCAGTCAGAGTCTTGCGCTAGAGCTGTTGTAACATTTAAAGCAAAACTGCTTCCTCACCACTTCCAGATCTGCACCTCCTCATCACAGTTCCCTTAACTTCTCCACTTTCAGACCAGCCCGGTCCTGCTGTATGATCCTGTCTCCAGCTTCTGCTACCACTAGCAGATTCATTGTGAATTTGGCATTTTGCAACAGAACAGCCCAGGACTGGAACATGTGAATCTGAGAGGTGAAGCAGGGTACCTGCAGGAAACGTTCCATCCGGCAGGATGAGTGCTCAGGACCTGCACCATCATAGCCATGGGGAAGAAGAATCACTATCCCACTCTGCAGAAGCCATTTGGCCTCACCTAAAAACACAGAATGAGAAAGAAGGAAAAAAAATATAGGGCTTTATGTTCTGTCGAAATAAGACTTAGCACTTTGCATGAATTACTCAGGAAAATAGAACACAGCTAAGTTTCCACATTGGTAAGTACAGCCCTGAAACATGTAGCTGTATTTAGTGGTGAGATTCATAACTATGAAATGGCACACATAAGATGATCTGAAATTTCTGAAATACTCAAATATCTTTGGGCTTTCAGAGAACTTATGGCATCACATCAAACAGTGAAACTTTTAAAACTCCGTCAGAAACATGACCAAATTATGCAAAAATTCTCTTATCAGCATTGTCTTCCTCATTAACAAGCATTGGCACTGCTAACTCTTCAGTAAGACCTCTAAGCATAATTCACTGCACGTTTTCTGTACACCTTATCATTTAGTCCTGTACAAGAACGAAGCAGGCAGCATCCTGTCAGCCAGCTCTAGCTAATACAGCAATGCTCACAAGAGGATAGCTTCCCAGGCTCAGAGATTATAGTCAAATCCAGAAAGCAATTAATCCTGACCTTAAATACACGTTGAGGATGAGTGGGATATACAAAGCCTCTAACAACTCCCATCTGAAAGAACTGAACACAGAGGCCTAACCAAGGCTAGATACCAACACTGCGGACCCCACACACAAGGAATTCCACTCTAGAAATCAATCTTAGCATTCCCTCACTACGTTCCACCTGTGAAAAGTCTTTTTGCTCTGAGTATTCAGAAAATGTGTTAGTCAAACTGAGATGTTATTTGCAAAGCATTTTTTGTGGGCTTTTTTCTTGTTCTTGTCTTGCACCACGAATTTTAAGAGATACCTCATGAAGGAAAGGTACATCCTAACAAGCTCCCGAATATATGTGCACACACCGTGAATAAGGAGGGAGAAAGGGGAAGAAAGGTTGTTAACACCAACTGTCCGTTTAGAATGACCATCTCCTGCCAAGGATGGGGCCTTTCGTTTTAGATGGAATGCCACAGATCTCATAGGAAGCTGTGATCTCATAGGCAAGCACACAAGGCTTCTTGAGAAAACAGAATTCTTTTCTCAACACATTGCCCTTGTATGGGCAAAGCTGAAGGATTTTCTAATAACACAAATAATTCATTGTAAATACATTAGCTTCTGGTACACTCACCTCCAGAGATGAAAGTGTCAAATATTATCTGGGCTCCATTAAAGAAGTCTCCAAATTGAGCTTCCCAAATTGGCAGTAACTTAGGACTCTCAATACTCATTCCATATTCAAAACCAAGTACAGCTTCCTCAGACAAGGGACTGTTACTCACCTAACAGAAAGGAAATTGTTGGGAGGGACAGGTGAGAAAGATGGGGTTGGAGCTCAATGATCTTTAAGATCCCTTCCAACCTAAGCCATTCTATGACTGCATAACAACCTAAGGTTAAGAACTTTTGGAAGCAGGCACTTTAGTGCTAGGCATTCTGAGGACACACACTCCAAAAGTCACACCTTTTTTGCTTTTGAATGAAGATACCAAGGGAAGAAAAAGAATAGATGATCTCTTAAGGAAAAGCATTATTCCTTGTTAAGGAGGGTAAATAACCATGCACTAGAATTATAAACTTGCTACAGGTCAACTTAAACCAGTAATCTGCCTTTTGCTAGTCTCTCCTTAACCCAGGTAGATTTCAGGCCTCCATATCTGGGGATTGTCAGGCTACATACATACACCTCAGCAGCTTTAAAATACGCTCTCCTTCAGCACAACTTGAGGAATATTGTCTCACGTACCACAGAACCTACCTCTAAGAAACCCTTCTGCTCTGGGGACATGTGATTCAGAGGAATGTAGGTGTCATCTGTTTCTTGGCAAACCAACATCGCATGTCGTTGGCTAAAGGTTCCTCTGCCAACATCTTGTCCACTTAGTCTGATGTTAAATCCTTTCCAATAAGCAAATCATTGCTTTAGTAAATCATACAAGAAAATACACAGAAAAATAAGTCCCCACTTCCAAAGTGTCACTTTTCTTGTTAAGTCCTTCCTTGAATTTCCCCTCTAAATTGCAGAGATGCTCACATCTCATTTCTCCTCCTTCCAGTCAAAAACTATTTTGGAGTGTTTCCGTTTGCTAAAGCAAACTGTAAAACACAGGCATCCTGCATCACACATAAACAGAGATACAAATTTAGACTTGAGAAGAAGGGAAATTAATCATAGCATGAAACACACTACATAAGGTAGGAGTACAGGAGGCTCAAGTGAAGTCCCTCGCTTTGCTCACATGCTCAGCACTAAGCACTGTCTTCTTGACAGGTTGTAAAGAAACAGTAACTCATTGAATACATTTATTATCCAATCTGTAGATAACAGTAACATACAGGATTCATATTTTACCTTCTCTTACTCTCACATAAATTTTCATATGTATTCATCACATCAATCTTTGGACTTAGGAACACCCAAATGTCTAATGTTATACTTCACTGGCATCAAAAGCAAATAATAAAATATTTCTGCTGTCTAGTTACCTCTTACCTTGGCTCAGCAGGGAACCAAATGCTAACGTTTCAGCTGTTGCCCAGTCCAGCTTTTTTCCTTCCTCCATCTTTTGAACTCTTGACTAAACAATTAAACAAGGAAAAAAAATTACTATTTTGCCTTCTCCCATCTGTTTATGCCTTGTAGCATAGATTGAAGTGAACAAAACAAAAAAACCTGCAGAGAGAAGTACTGTTCCTCCTGCAGCCAACTTTGGTTGGTTTGAAATACATGCATTTTTATTTCAGCACATCCTGAAGGAGGCTACTCTGCTGAGCACAAAACCATGTGCAGCCCACATATTCCCTTCCTAGTCAACAAACAGTGCATTGACAGATTAGATCTTAGTCTAAAAATACTAAAAACCTGAGGACAGCAGAAAGAAACTTGGCAAACTTCTGGTACAGTACTGAAAGATTCCAATTGTAAGTAATTTCAGTCTCCAGAATTCCCCTATTCTGAGCTGTAGCTGTGCTGTTCTTGCCTTGGGCTGGGAGGACTTCAGTCTTTTTCAGTATTCAACTCACAGCCTCTCCATAGCTGTTGACCAGACATCAGCCCATGGTCATCACTGATCCAAGTGAAATGTTCACAAAGCCAAACCAATCCAGTTATTGCACAAAATCTTATTACTTATGAAACACAGCAACTCTCAAACTTGTGTACACATTTATATAAAAATACCTAAGCATTGCATTACTAGCTTAACAAACTGCTTTGCTATGTTACAAATTTCCTGATTCATTCTCAAAGTTTAAATGACAGTCATTTATTATACTGACTTATATTCTTTGTATGAACAACAAACTATTTTCTACAGGCTGCTTCTTCAGTGCAGCAAAATATTGCTAAACTAAGAATTAAGTATATGGCTTGATACGGGGGGAGAAGATCTTTTTCTTCAAACCTAGGAGAAAAATGGCATAATCCCAACCTGAAAAAGGGAACAAACTGTTCTTCCTAGAGAAAACTGTGCTATTCTTTAATTGGCAGCCTTGCTGTAAAAGGTCAGATACTTAAGTATCTCTATGCTCTACTGACCTGTGCATACGTCTTTAGAAGATGGCTGTGCATCTGGAGCTCTTCAGGCACTTCTACAGACTTGACTCCAATAAACTGCAGGAGTGGTATTGGCATACCTGTGTCCCAAGTGGTGATTTTAGCAGAAGGTTCAACCAAACCTTTCCAGTGAGCCTGCAGGTTGGTAGGAGGTGGACTATACAAAGTCATGTTGGCAAGATGATCGTTTAGTTTGGAATAGTAGGTCGTCTTTATCTCAGATACTTCAACATCAGTCATGAGCCCAGCAGCTACGAGGTGTTCTGCGTACGTGTCTGGGATGCTCTTACGGGATCTGTCGGGGAGGGAATCAAACCCCACAGACATTAAGCCTGAAAAGTGTCACTTCAGAACAGGGAAATACTACCTTTCTTCCTGGCAGGTAAAATGGAAAGCTAACACAAATGATGACCTAGTGCATAATACTCATTTGGGTCAAATTTTCTTTCCTGACATTTCCAGAATAACAAAAATTCTCTTGAATTCATGCTTTACGTTTGTTTAAAATAGTGCCTATTGCTAGCAACTACAGGTAAAAGTAAGTTAAGAAATCCTCTCATTCAGACAGGCTTTGTGCCATCGTGCATCGTTCTTCAGACAAACTAATGGTGGAATTTCAGGATTAGCTGAGAATTGAGGCAGCCAGTTCCATATAGTTCCACTTAAAACACCAGAATTAACTGGCCAGTATTTTTCTCTAGGGATCAAGATGGAATCTAAATTTATCAAAATGCTTGTGAAGATGAGGCTCCACTGGAACAGGCAAAAAGACAACACATTGTACAGGCTTCCTGCACATTCTCTCACATAACCTACCCTTCCACACAGTAGACAACTTTGCCTTTTGAGCAATCAGGAATTTGAAATCCAAAGGCTGTATGCAAGATTGTTCTCCAAGAGGCATCAAAACGCATATTCAAGAATTGCCACCAGTGGTCGTCTTTATTAACACGCCATCAGACCTTAGCCAGGGGCTGCTGACAGTCTAACTACGCTTAGCATTTGACAGTATGACAAAGGATCTCTAGCAAACAGAGATTTCTGTTCGAGTAGTGGACAATACTGATGAGATGTATAAAAAGCATACTTTGGGTTCTCCCATCAGATGGTGTCACTCTTACCTGATGATTTTGTACATGCTAGGGTTGGTGAAGAATGGCTCATCAAGCTCATTGTGGCCCCACTGCCTGTAGCAGAGCAAGTCTACTATCACATCCCTGCGGAACTGGCGTTGGTACTCAACTGCCAGTCGTGTGGCACGGACAACTTCCTCAGGATCGTCCCCATTGACATGGATAACTGCACATCCAACAATTTTACCTGCCCAGGGATTCACAACAAAGTTAAGGGTAGTCACACTCAACCCCCCTCCAAGGAAAACAGACACAGACATACTCAGCAGAAAACTACAGGCATTGGCGCTCAGCATACTTAACAAATCTACTAAAGATGTTCTTTATGATGATAACTGGAGTAAGGAGTAGGAGACATCCTTGAAAGAAAGTCCAATTGGCTCAAGATGTTGTATTTGTCATAGTTTGAACACAACTTCTTTATCAGTAAATTCCTACTCTCAAGAAGAGAGCAGAAAGTCTTCAGGGAACGAGGAAGAACTACTTGATTGATTCTGTCAAACAAAAACCAAATTTTCTTTCTTTCTTCACTATGAATCATAGACTGGCTTAGGTTGACAGAGACCTTGAAGACCATCTAGTTTGCAAGCACGTATTGCTGGCTCATGTCCAGCTTTGTCCACCAGGACAAAAGGTTTTTGCTTGCTCTGGTCATTTCGCAGGCAAAAAGAGATCTCTCATAAAAGAGAAAACTGTGAAATCCAAATGTTTTAACATATTTTCCTGTATGACGATTTGTGAATTCTGTGAATTTGGACTTAAGTATTCTCAGCAACAGAGTGCTCTTCTGCCCAAATACTGGAAGATAAAGACGGTTCACTCCTGACCAATATCATGTCTCCTCCCTAACAAAATCCTGAAGTCCAGATGGGTAAGACACCCCTAAGTAACTAAATAAGAAGAAAAGAAACACTAAGAATGCAAAAAAAAAGAAGTCATAATAATGACTGTACACAGGCTTAATGAATCTACTTGCCTGGTTTGATGAAGTCATAAGACAAATACCTGACATTAAACCTTACACATATACATTAATATATTTTAAATTCTAGGAAGCATACACAAAGGAACTAGCTGCTATGTCCGTGGTCTGGCCAATTGCAATACATCTGTTTATCATTAAGACAGACCAGTCCAAAGCCAAAGGCTTTCTAAGTTTAAGGTTAGAAGTGGCATGAATCTCATCTTTTAATTAAAAGCTCAACAAGTTCACCTGATAACAAACAAATGAAGGAGAGACTATTGAAGTAAAAAAGACACACTGAAAACACATCTGTTACATACTCCATCACAACACATTTTTAAAAGCTGTCAACAACACAGCAGAAATTAAATTAGTAAGAATTGATGTAAGTCTTGCAAATATTTTACTGTATTCTGTAAAAAATACGACATGATTTTCCTTTGGTAGTTAGTCTTCATCCCAGAATAGATAGGTAAGGGAATTCATTTAGCACTTGAATTTTTGCTAGTAGGAGGCAATAATCAGTAATAATTTGATTTGATATTCTATTATCCAAAGAAATACAGATTAATACAGTTCCCTAGTGTTGATAACATTTGCTATAAAAATCCCACTGCAATAGCAAATGTTCCCACTGGTGTTAAAAAGCCTCCCTTATTCTTTCTGATACATACCAATGTCACTACAGTACAGTGATGATCTTCCTCGCTCTGGAGGAGTGGTGTAGCCCAACTGGTTATTAACAATCAAATGGATGCTCCCACCAACTCTGAAATGTGGTAGATTGGAGAGGGTCAGTGTTTCAGGAACAATCCCCTGCCCAGAGAAAGCACCATCACCATGAACCTGCAGGAAGGAAGAAGGTGGAAGAGTCTTGTTTGAGAGAACACTGGAGGAACAGCAACACTGAGGAAACAGTAACTCGCTATGCAATACCTACTGCTGGGTCCAGTTCTTAACCCCTTTCAGGCTACTTTTTCCACGATTTGCACATGACTGCCTGATCTACTTGGAACAGATCCATAATATCTTAAGTTGACCCACTGGTGCTTTGGTGACTGCAAGTATCATGGCTACAGCAAAGCTGCAGCATTAAGTACCAACTCACTGACCACTGAACAACAGCAAGCCAGTCACCATAGGATTTGCTGCAACTTAAATAGTGGTGAGCCATGACTCATACCTACTCCTATCTTATCACACAGAGACAAGAGCAGACACACTAGGAAAAGAAACTAAAAAAGAGTAAGAACCAATTCCAGACAGCACGAAAAGACTGATTTCAGTAATACCATGATAAAATGACAAAATTCTAAGTCCTACTGTATATTTTTCAACCTTGTTGTTAACTCTTCTCAAAACCTATTTAATTAAAAGAAGACCAGCAGTGGTGGTTTAAAGGGTTTAAAGCAAAAACCCCCAGTGCAAGGTATCAAAATCAAGGAAGGAAGCTGAAAAATTTCTTTGGAAATCTAGAAGCTGGAATAATTGTCTAAAAGCAGGTGCTGTCATATGTGGCACCTAGATGCCTTCTGTTCCCTTCACATTCTTTGTAAAGAGAATCCCAGTTCTTCATATTCTACATTAATTAGTTTTTGTTTGGTATTTTTATATACACCATTTCTGTTCACATGCTGGTCTAGGAAGTCATACAAAGTGCAGCTACAAGTTGCGAGCAAAATACCTGCAGGCAAATAACTTTGTCTCCAGGCTGTGCGGAGCTCTCTGGGGAGTAATCTCCATCGAGCAGAGACTGCTGTCTTCCTCGTGTCTTGCCCACGGCCACTGGATTGATTGCTTCTAAGTGTGAGGGGTTTGGTAGCAAGGTGACATGCACAGGCCTGTGCGAACCAAAGTCAAGATCCACAGAAGATGTCAGGTGGGAGAGAACGTCCCCAATGGCTGCTGAATTCTCTGGAAACTCACTCAAACCACGCATCTTACGGAACATGAGCTGCATGGAAACAAACCTGTTTAAATCTCTTTCCTGATTAATTGACACAATAAAAGAAAAACGTTTCCAGAATTATATGCTCTCCCACTCTTGAGACAGCCAGGATGCCTCAAATAAAAACATATAAACCCATTTCACAGAGTTCTCTTATCAACCTCCCAGGGAAATCCAGCAGAGGTACTGACATGAAGGGAATACACTCTCACAAAGGTGACTTTTTTCACTGCTTCAGCATTCAGAAGACAAACATTTAGTTTACATATTTATTGCAAATAAACCAGACACATAGAAACTTCCAGTAAGACTGTGAATCCCTTACCTCTGGTGGAAGCTGAAGCAAGCCTGTGAGAAGATTAAGTCTTCCACGGTGAGGCATTCCAAGAATGATATCTGTCACACCACTGTATGCACACATCTTAAACAATTCATGGAAGAAGCCCATCATGCTCTCTGCTCCTTCTCCGCCGTATCGCTTCACTGTAGCAAACTTGGTGGCTAAGAAGCGATCAAACTCCTATTAAAAACAGGGGAACTTCAGTACTAAGCAACTTTGAGCAGGAGTCTTCCATTTGTAAACTAGAAACACCATTTACATTTGTAGCTATGTAAGTACAGCCCTTGAAAATCTCAGCCACCCCAACTATCTGAGATCAGAAGCTATGGTGAGTACAAGGCAGTGCCTTTTTCCTCTTACAACGAAAACTGCAGGATTGAGGACCAAGCTGGTTCTACCTAACATGGAAGGAGATGGATACCAAAATTAACAGGAGCAATTTACAAATTCCTTAACAGTTTACCTTTTTTAGTGACAATTAAAAGAATGGTGTTCTTTTACAGCATAAACCTTAGCTATCCTGAGATGCAAAGTGCTAGAGAAACGGTGTTTCACTTCGATGACATTAGACACAATATTTAGTATATAAGTAAAATAATTATTGAGAGAAGGAAAATAAAGGAATCTGTATTTACTTCATTTTCCTTTCACTCCTTCCACTTCACTCACTGCATTCATCAACTCCTAGACAGCTCTCTTAAATGACAAAGTTTTGGAAGCACTGGAAGTGTCTGCAGTGTCTTGCAACTGAAAACTGAAAATAAAAGATGACTGTAATTGAGAAGGGAAGACTGAGCCACAGCCAAAGATCCAATCCAACTGATGAACAACCTTCAGTTGAGAAACACTGAAATCTAAGGAATTACATATAAAACTACTCACACACAGAAGTAGTTTTTTTTTCACATTACTTCAATTCCACACTCTTAAATACAGTTCTGGTCATTCTGAGGGTAACGTGTGATTCTTAAGGTCCTGATTTCACCCTCCTTTCTCAGAAGCAAATTTCTTTAATTGCCAAGAAGGCAATAAAAAAAATGTAAGGTGTGCCATATACTTCCATTTAGTCATTGTTACACATTACATTTAACACTCCTACCACTTGGAAAACTGGAAACAGGGACACCTTTACAGATTCTGCTCTTCTACCCTTCCATTCTTTTTGATAAAGCAGGGAAAGAAGGGGAAAAAAAAAAGAAAGGTTTTTTTTTTTTTTTTCACAGTATAGAAATATTTGAATAAATTGTCTCTACACAGCTTGCACATTCATAAATCTTTCACTTCTTCATTCTATGAACAAAAGTTCTTTTGCTGAAGGGCTACATGGCTAAAACCTCAGTTCAATTCTGTTTTGTTCTCTCAAAACTTCGAGGGATGCAGTGTGCTTCAAAGCTAGTGAAACAGACAGGGATGTGGCTGAGTGAAAAGAAAACAGCACGAAGTGCATGGAAGTATGCCCAACCTTGTGTTCCCAACAGTAACATTTAGTATACAGCATATATAGTTGTCAGATCAGTCACAGAGAATCTCACTTTTTAAGATCCAGTACTCAGGGGTTTGTATGGTCACTGCATCTCCAGAGAGTTTACATGATACAAATATATATCACAAACAATACAGGTTCTGATTTGTTCTAAAAGCTGTTTGAGTTTGGATCTGGCTGGAAATATTCTGCTAGAAATAATTTCCAGACAAATCAATGCAAGTTAAAAAGGTATTGGTAAATGTTTCAAAGAGGTTGCAGGGTAAATTCAGCAACAATCTCCAGTGAAGATTCCTGCATTCGTGTATCACGCTTCTTTGATGAAAAAACCAGCACTTCTCCCTCTCACATGCTGTCAAAGCCTTCAGAATAGTGACTCTTATGTTGCGTGGACCACATCCAGAGCATCAGAAGGTCCACAACAAACTCCAGAATTCAATTAAATTGAGTAATAGTGAAGAAGGTACCTGTGACTCCAACATCAGTTTGCACAAGTGCTTTTTCTCTTCAGTCATAAACGCTTCTTGTTTCAGTTCTTCAAATCTTTTAGTAAACCATTTTCTCTCCTCCAAGGTTGGAAGCTGGCTTGTTTCTATGGAAATATGGCCGCAGTACACATGGTCAAGGTAAGCCAACACATCCTCTACAGAAGCCTCTTCTTTTCCCATGTTGAGAAGCCCTGGTCAGACATAAATGTTATTAGTCACTTGTGGGGAGATAGGTGGAAGCACTAAGAATTAAACCAGCATCCTGCAATTACAATAATATTTTGAGAGTACGAATTCATACCCTTGACGTCCTTACCTTCATTTAAAACTATTTATAACCATACTTCAGTATTGTATTAATGCAATGGTCTCATGCTTATTTGCAAGGCACTCAAAATGTCTTTTGGAAAGACTTTAATGCGAATGACACCAAGTCACTGCTTTTGTGTGCAGCACTCATTTTGAGGCTCAGAGAAACGAGCTCCAACCCCATGGGCATCAGAAGTTAGTAAGCACTTGTTCTGTAGATAGATAAGATATAGAGCACTGAGAGACACGTTTATTCAAGGCTACAGTGAGAGACAAAAATCCAGTGCCACAGCAGCTTTATCACAATGTCAAAAATTACACTGCATCATAGAATGTTACAGCAACACAAGAAATTAATGTATAACCTCAGTAGATTTAAGTACAACTAAAAACGTTCATGGTATCCTAAGATGTGAGAAGGTATCCATTCATTACGCGATGATCTGCACAACAAACATGTAAGTAGGCTGAGGTTAATGATTTTCCATCCAACAATACATTACTGATTGAATCTCCTCTAAATATCTGTCTCCTCTGCAGAGGACACAGCCTCCTAATAAATCATCCATGACAAAAACTTGCTGTGATAGGGTAGCATTTACCTGTGGTAATGAGAGGCCCTTGAAGAACTTCAGTCAACTCTCGGATTTCAGGTACCACATTCATAACAGCTTGCCCAGCAAACAGTGGATTTATTTTGGCTGCTTTGTGTCCATGTTCGGAGTACGCAGTTATTAAACGAGCAAGGGCATGATCAACTAAACACAAAAAGAAAGCAGAATATTGCACATGCTCACATTTAATGCGTTTACAGCACCAACACATGAGTTTTCAGTCTGATAATCTTCTAGGTTCTGGCTGCAAAGATGTTTTTCACCTTCATCATCTTGCTAGAGCTCCTATAGTCAGACTGCTATATTTTGTTACTAGTGGAATTTTCAAGCAAGATTTCATGGAATCATGAGTTGGAAGAGATTTTTCAAGGCCATCTGGACCAACTTCCCCGCAACAAACAGGGACACCTAACTATATCAGGTTGCTCAGCACCCCAGGCCAGCCTGACCTTGAGTGTCTCCAGGGATGGGGCATCCACACCCCTCTGGGCAACCCATTCCAGCATTTCACTGCCCTTACTGTAAAAAACTTCTTCCATACATCCAATCTAAATCTCCCCTCTTCAGTTCAAAGCCATTTCATTGTACTGTCACAACAGTGAGTACTGAAGAGTTTGTTGCCGTCCTTACATTCCCCCATTATTACATTCCCAAATACTGAAAGGCTACTCTCAAGACTCACTGGTGCCTTCTCCAGGCAGAACAGTCCCAGCTCTCTCAGCCTGTCCTCACAGGGAAGGTGTTCCATCATTTTTTTGGCCCTCCTCTGGGCACACTACAACAGGTCCATGTCTCCCCATGATTCCCCTGCTAGCCTGTATATGTACATAAAGCTACCTTGTTTTACTTTGAATCTCACTACAGTGATGAGTACACCCAACTGAAGAATGGCAAGGTACTGGTGTGCAAAGTCCTATTTCCATAGCCAACTAACCATGCTTCCTGCACTTGCCTGCTCCTTGCTGGGATGTCAGGCAGATAGGGTCTTGCTAAAAACAAACAAACAAAATCCCTCTTTCTGCAGGAGCGAGATAAACTGTAAACCAGAAGATATATTGCAAGCAGAACCTGCTATAGATGAATAATATGGAAAAATTTATAATGTGTTTTTCCTCTACACTCTTCGCAAGAAAACCATTTAACAGCAGATTACAAAATGTAACAAAAACATTACACCTACATACACCTTAACAAGGTACAAATCACAGAGGAGGGGAATCAACTCTTCGAAAGGGTAGATAACTGCAGGACAAGGACAAGGGGAAATGGTTTTAAGTTGAGGGAGGGAAGATTTAGGTTGGATGTTAGGGGGAAGTTCTTTACAGAGAGTGGTGAGGTGCTGGAACAGGCTGCCCAGAGAGGCTGTGGATGCCAGCCCATGGAGGTGTTCAAGGCCAGGTTGGATGGGGCCCTGGGCAGCCTGGTCTGGTATTAAAAGGGGAGGTTGGTGGCCTTGTCTATGGCAGGCAGGTTGGAGATTCCTGATCCTTGAGGTCCCTTCCAACCCTGTGATTCTGTGATCTCATTAGCTGTTAATGTGAGGACAACACTCCTATAACGGTTCTCATAAAATGGCTTATGTTGGGAGAGCCCTCAGAGCCACTTAGCTCCAATCCCTGCTATAGGCTGAGTTTCCCCACCAGCCCAGGCTGCCCAGTGCCCATGAAGCCTGGCTGTGAGCACCTCCAGGGAGGGGAACCCACACTTCTCTGGGCAGCTGTGCCTCGCTTCTGAAGGTAAAGAATGATTCCCTATCACCTAACCTAAGTCTCCCCTCTTTAGTTTGAAGCCAATCCCCTTGTCCTGTCACTGTCTGCCCGCGTACAGCGTTGCTCCCCCTGCTGCTTGCCATCTCCCTATCTCCCTTCAAGCACTGCAGGGCCGCAGTGTGGTCTCCCCGGAGCCATCTCCAAGTTCAGCTCCCTCAACCTTTCTTCAAAACTTCAAGTCTTCTGCTTGGAATTGTTTTTTGTTGTCCCGCCCCCCTCCTCCCCCCGGTAAAAATGACCTAAAATCCCAACCGTCATTGCTACAGAAGAGAATTACCTGTACTTAGTTAATTCTAGCACAACTCTATGTATGCATACAGAACAGACGTAAAATAGAGCACGACCGTCGCCACGCTCCGTCTCCGTCACAGCCGCGCTCCCTCCAGGCGCTCCGCAGCCGCGCTGCCCCAGAGCCGCCGACCGCCGCTCGTCCCCCGCCCTCCCCTCAGCCCGGCGCCGCGTCAGGCTGTGCGTTGGCGGACCCGACCTGCTTTGCCGCTCTCCCCAGCGCCGCGCGGCTCCGCCGAGCTCTCTCCTACCGCTTTGCGCGGCTTGTAGCCGTACACCCCCCGCTCCGTACGGTACCAGCGCCGGGAGCCTGCCCGCCACGGCCATCTCCACACAGCACAGCGCGCGACGCTCGCCGCCATGGCCGCCGCGCTGCCCGCCGCCAACCGCCGGCCTCGACGCCGCCGCCGCCCCCGGCCGGGGAGGGGCGGTGCGGCTGAGCGGGAGCGTGTAGGACGTGCTGCTCTGCGACCGGCTTTAATATCCCGAATGTTTTCTGCCTTCAGTCTGCTGTATGCGATGGAGGACGGATACGTTCTCACGTAATTGACCAGAAAAAGGGTTTGAAGTGGAAAATTTTATCAGAAATACAGTAGGAACAGAGAGGTGATCGTCCCTGTGTACTGAGCACTGGTGAGGCTGCACCTCAGTACTGCGTGTTCAGTTTTGGGTCCCTCACTGCAAGAAAGACATTGAGGAACTGGAGTGTGTCCAGAGAAGGGCAACGAAGGGCCTGGAGCACAGGGCTTAAGGGGAGCAGCTGAGGGAACTGGGACTGTTCATCTGGAGAAAAGGAGCCCTTAGCGCTCTCTACAAGTGCCTGAAAGGAGGTTGTGGTGAGGCGGGGCTTGGCCTCTTCTACCAGGCAACAGCGATTGGATGAGAGGTAATGGCCACAAGTTGCACCAGGGGAGGTTCGGGTTGGATATGAGGAACAATTTCTTCTCAGAAAGAGCAGTGAGGCATTGGCACAGGCTGCCCAGGGGTGTGATGGAGTCACCATCCCTGGAGGTGTTCAGAAACAGGACAGATGCGGCACTAAGGGCCATAGTTAGTGGGATGGTGGGGGTCGGTTGATGGTTGGACTGGATGATCTTAGTGGTCTCTTCCAACCTTAATGATTCCATAATTCTATGATTCTTTAGGTGATTTCAGAAGTATATCCCAGCATCTTGGAATTTCTTATTAAAGTGCTGCGAGAAGTTCAGTATCAAAGTTTAACCCTGTGTATTTGTTGCACTGGATTGTGGTTGGACACAACCCCATCCTGGAAAACCTACCAAAAATGCACGAGTTAGAATTGAGGATTTAACAAAACATAACATCTTTGCGTAACCTTTGTGTGAATGCAGTAGCACTGGCTTGGTTGTGCCTATTAAAAGTAGGTAAATCATAGAATCATTAAGGTTGGAAGAGGCCTCTGAGAGCATCCAGTCCAACCATCCAACCGCCACCAATACTATGTACTAAACTATGTTCCTCAGAGCCACATCTACACATTTCTTGAATCTGTTGATTGCGTTTGCAACAGGTAAATAAAAGAGCATTTATTTCTTCAAATCAAACAGTTGCTACGTGCTGTTGGAACAGGAGGAACTGGATTTTGCAACTAAATCAGTTGTGACGCTGTTGTTGGCTGAGGATGTGAGGATGTTAGGTACTAATATTTCCTGAAGAGGAGCTGCTGGTGTTCCCTGAGGTTGGGCTTACGCAGACCTATAAAAGCCCATCTCAAAGGGCAAAATAGGGAGTGAGTTTTAAAGCAAAGAAAGCAAAAAAAAAAAAAAAAAAAAAAAAGCTGCAATAAAAGGACAGTTGACACGTGGCCAACAGAGTAAGGCGTAGTAGGAATTTGGCTTTGAGTATTGATTTTTAATGTATGCTAAAGGAAATTTCAAAATAATGTTGTTACATTGCATGATTCTGTAGAGGCAGAAAAGGTCGGCATAGTTAAATATTTCTATTCCTTGCAGAGGGAAAAGCACAGATGTTGCAGAAAGATTATGAAATACTTTTCCACAGTTGTTAGGTAATTATCAGCCAAATAGCAGGTATCAATATGGTTTTGTTTAAAGCTGATAGAGAGAGAGCTAGTTGAGTATTTCTCAATTATTCATATGAATAGGTCTGAACATTAAAATTTTCAAGTTATAAAGGACTACAATGAGGTGGTTCAGCCACACAATGTGGGTCCCAGAAGAGTAAGAAAATATTTCTATATAAGAATTCCCTTCCTACTTTAATGAAGTCTAAGTGTGGGTTTATGGAATACATGTCAAGTGAAGATGTTGAATTTTGTGATGTTCTCAGACTCACAGACTTGTACAATGGCTTACATTGGAAAGGACCTCAAAGCCCTGGACTGACTGCCCCTCACAAGCTCAGGTTGCCAAGGGCCTCATCTCACCTGGCCTGCAGCACCTCCAGGGAGGGGGCACCCACAGCTTCTCTGGGCAGCTGTGCCAGTGCCTCACCAGCCTCTGAATAAAGAAGTTCTTCCTAACACTGAACCTAAATCTCCCCTCTTTTAGTTTAAAGCCATTCCCTTTTGTCCTATCACTATCTGCCCATGTAAAAAGTTGCTCTTCCTCCTGCTTATAAGCTCCCTTCAATTACTTTTTTTTTTTTTGTGATTGAAAATTCAGTTCCTAAAGATGTGAAGTGTTTTGCAGAATTTGCCAGCATAACCATCTTGTCTAGAATGCAATTACATGTGGCAAAACTCTTGCTGTAGCTGTATCTATGTCAATTAAAGAAAGATTTATTGACCTTGGATCATGTCTTGAGCGTGAGAAAGTGTTACCCTTACCAGCAGAAACACCACTGCTAAGTTCACATGCTCTGGCTCCCCAAGGGAAATCTCCTGGCCTGACTCTTCCAGCAGAGGCTGAGTGGCTGTTGTAGAAGATACTCCTGTATTAATTCTGCTCTACTTGATATCATAGCTAAATAATAAAGTTCAAAAATGGAGGTGTATATGCTAAATAATATAGAACTAAATACCTAGCGGTTCTAAACTTGCCATATTTTAAATTGAAAATCAGCAGTGGCTGGGTGTATTTCTAAAGGGATTGTAATCCATGCCACTTCAGCAGTCCTACCAAACCCCAAAATCTTCCCACAGTGTCCTGACAAGATTTGTCAGCTAGAGATAAGTGGTGAAGAAAGGCTGTTTGGCTATGAATGTGACACTGGATTGGATGCAAGTAAATGTCATTTATTTGAACAGGATCAGACCTAAATTTGAAAAACAACTTGAAAAAATACGTGCACTAGAATGTAGACCCTCTCCAGGAAACAGTGATTATAAATAATTTCTGAAAATCATAGGAATAAAACAGATGGGTCTAAAAAAGTTAGAAGACTATCAGCTCACTTGGCAAAAAAGATTATTTTCCCAATTTGGCTACAAGACAAATTCTGTATACACCTACAGATTGTACATTAGGCCAGTATTTGGCATGCTATGGCTGTCTGAATAGTGTGTGTGTTTGGTGCCAGTAATTGAGGAAACATATTGAAAAAATTGGGAAGAATTTCAGAGCATTTTATTCATGCTAGAAAAGGTAGCAACGGCATTTTACAAAAGAAAATAGACCAACATTTATTGATATAATACTGCTGAAAGTGAGATGTAAAGCTCATATAAAGCAAAGATTGCCTTATTAAACCACAAGAAAAAGGAATAATTGCAAGGCATCCACTGACAGGTTACATGACTGGTGTCCTTGGAGAATAAAGCACTAATATGTACATGTCCTCCCCACTTAGCCCCTCTTTTTCTTACATGGATCTTCTCCGTTCTGACAAAACAGTTTAAGCAACCTGGTAACTTGACGCATTTTGGGAAGTGACACCTTTGTGTAGCGAGCACACTCGAATGATCAATGTACATAAGAAGCATGACTTCATCCTTTCAAACATTAATAAACTTTTCCAGAAAGAGATTTTCAGAGGTGTCTGCAAAATGAGCCATGAAAATTAAACAATGTGGGGAGAGCTTTTTTCCTGGAACAAAACGTGCCCATTCCTGCACAGCTGGCAGCGCACGCCCAATGCTCTGCCTCTGTGCGCGGTCCCATCCTCGGGCTGCCCGTGAATAAAAGCTGTGACAGCTCAATGGCCTCACTGTGCTCATCCTCATCATGCCATCATCAGGGCCACAAAGATGGTGAAGGGCCTGGAGCATCTCCCCTGTGAAGAAAGGCTGAGTGAACTGGGTCTGTTTAGCCTTGAGAAAAGAAGACTGAGAGGGGACCTGATCCAGGTCTATAAGTAGCTAAGGTGTGAGGGGCAGAACGGCGAGGCCAGACTCTTTCCAGCAATGTGTGGAGACAGGGCAAGGGGAAACAGCAGGAAACTGCAGCATAGGAAGTTCTGCACAAACGTGCGCAATAACTTCTTTACAGTGAGGTGACGGAGCACTGGAACAGGCTGCCCAGGGGGGTTGTGGAGTCTCCTTCTGTGGAGATGTTCAAGACCTGCCTGGATGCCTACCTGTGTGACCTGGTGTAGGGAACCTGCTTTGGCAGGGGGGTTGGACTCGATGATCTCTGGAGGTCCCTTCCAACCTCTACAATTCTGTGATTCTGTGATCCCAGCCCCAGTGCCATGCACTGTGCACATCTATAGTAAGCACTTTGCCATAGCCAAGCAAAGGCTCAACTCACAGAAGTTGAATGCTTAAGAATCTGAATTCCAAACTTAAAATAAAAACCAGATGCACACTTGTACATTCTGGATGGTGCCAGACTGTTTTCGACTTGGGCTCCTTCAGGGTTGTCTTATGGCCAACACCAGGCCAGACCACAGATCTGAGGTACGCAGGGACGGTCTGATGCAGATAAATTTTGCTAAGCGCTCACGCTCGCATCAGGAAGACGAAGCGGATGTTGAAGCTGAGCCGCCTCCGCGGCCACCCGCGAACTGAAGGACTCTACCACACGGCCCCTCGTCGTGACGCAACGCGGCGCTCACACACACAGCAGCGCCCCGCCGTGACGTCACGCGGTACCGCAAAGCATCGCCGCGCCGCTCCCCTCCGCCCGCAGCCACTTCCGCCTCCGCACCGCCCGGTAACCCGAGCGGGGCCGCCCGCCCGCAGGACCCCGCCCGGGGCTGCCCGCCGCGCCGCCTGACGCCCGCCTCTCGGGATGCGCGGTTCGCCGAACCATCCGAGATCTCCGCAGCGGCGCGGCTCGGCCTCGCCGCCCGTTCTTTCTCGTCTGGGTGTCGGGAGGAGCGCGGAGCGAGCTCGCTTCGAGCGGCGCTTTCGGTCAGGCGGCGCGACGGTCTGCCCGGCAGGGAGCGCGGCGGGGCGGCGTGAGGGGAGCGGAGCGAGGGGACCTCGAGCGGCGGGAGGGGGCGGCGGCGGCGGGCGGAGGAGGCGGCGCTCCCCGGG